TCTCCTGTTAGCAATCACTAGGTCAAAAATTTCACGAAGGGATCCTTGAGAATTGCCAACTGTGCACTTAGCCCGAAACCGTCAGGGCTCAAATTGCATTGATGTTTATTGAACTGAACCTCTTTAAAGCTTTCTTCACTAATATGAAGTTCTCCTGTAGATTAGATGAGCGATACAAAGTTTTGGAAAGGCTGAAAACTGAAATCTGTTTTACAAGAAGAGGAGGGGGCACAGCCTTGTGTTTTATTTGAACTTGCTGGAGGCAAGAAAAACTACTTTAATCGGTACGATAGTGACAATATGTAAAGAACCATGTGGCCAGCCCATTCCCAACGCTAAATCAACACCTTGTCAAACCAGAGCAACGAGAGGGGAGAAAAACAAATGTCATTTTCTCAGCTTAACCTCCATACAAACCCCCACACGATGACATGATATTCCCAACAGATACCATATATTACAGAAAAGTCACGGTGGGGAACTCTCAGCAACAATACACCAGCGGACAATCAGGGAAGTCAATTACTTCGAGTAGTATTCTTGAAAAATGCCTTTCTGACCCCCTCTTCATTCATTTCAGAATCTGAAATAAGACTAAGCTTCTAGACCTGTCTGAAGTACATTCTCAAAGCTGCCTTGAATAGAAATCTAGGAACTTGTGAAACTTGAAGATGCATCTGAGGTTTTAATTCTTTGGAATTTTAATGCATAAAGGGAAATACCAATCAACATACCTCAAAGGCTGAAACTAAAAGCTCCAGAGTTATTAAAAAACGGTAAAAACAAAACAAAGCCTCTTTTATGAAAGTGACCACAGTGGCAACCAGCGACTTCAACCAGAGAACTTCATGTGTGACTCCTCAGTTATCTTTGGATTACTTGTTTAGAAGAATATTGTCAACATATTGTTAATATAAATCTAAGTGGGGCTGCAGAAGGGTTGTGGGTGGAGCAGTGTCCCTAAAGACGAGCAATATTTAAATCTATTGTACTTGGTGATTAAAGACAAGCCTTCTTGGTTCTTAAAGAAAACTCTCCTTGTGAAACCTAGAGACCTTTCCTAGAAAGATAGTTAACAAGGTGATACTTCTGTCTCCTTGTGAAAGTGCATCATATAAAGCCACTGATCATGACGTCTAGGAAGGGGCTTCAATAAAAATAGCTGCCTTTAGTTCTCCTCTACATTACAGAAAACCAACACGAGACAAACACAAATATTAACACAGAGAATAATCAAACCTCAGTGGAGGGTTACCCACTGGTAGGCTTTGAACATTTAAGTCACATGTACTTGACCAAAATCCTTTCAAATTCATCTTCAGTCTTAATTCACACAACTCCTCTACCTCAGTTCAGCAGATTTTGGCCACAACCCTATTACCTTTTATAATGCTAATAAACACCACTTTGTTACTTGTGTAAAAAATCAGTTCTTTATCTTTTTATACCATTTGAAAGTAGTGGCAACCTAATGAAGACTTCCAAAACGTTTGACATGCTTGATAAGGTTTAAGAAAGAATCTCCTGCACCTTAGAAATGAAAACCTTCTGGGTTCCAACACAGAAACTGCCAGTTAAGCAAGCAAAAATGTACCAAACATACAATGGTAAAAATACTCAAGAGTAAAACCTTGCCATTATAACATACTCAGTTGGGGCTGTCAATTTAGTTGGAGGCCTAACACCAGTAATGTCAAAATGAAGGAAAACAGAAGCAAGTTCTTATGTTAACAATCAGCTCAACTACTTCAATCTAAGAAACGCACAAGAACTCCATAACCCCAGTTGGAGCTCAGAGCCCAATAGAAGCATGGGTAAAGTTGGGGTTAACTTGACTCCTAGGGAGAATTTTGCCTATTTGGGCACTTAATGCACATCCAAGAACTTGGTGGTAGAGTATTAATGAATTTATCAACTACAGTTAAATGCTCAATTTTCTCACAAAAGAATGTGTGCACGTGTCCGTGTGAGTATACACACTCATACACAGTAACTTTTATATGGCTTTAAAGATACTGTTACTAGGCATATAATGTGCACAGGTAGCTTATTTCAAACACCTTTGCACTTTGGGGAAGATGTATGGGAATGAACTCAAGTATTAAAAAATTTATAAATTTGCTCATAAAATCAATCTCCAAGGGATTCTGATCAGCCTACTTAACTTAAAACTCAAATGTTAATATAGTCTCATAAATTAGTACATACTGTCAAAAATTTGCATCCTTAAGTTTCAAGTCTTTAGTGTAGCTTATGTGCTTCCAGAACTTGAAGGTTAAGGTTCCTATAAAAATATAGGTTGAACAACTCATAACATGCTAGGTACCACCAACCTACACTTGGATTTGGATAAATATGCCCAGAATTTTGCCTACTTTAAGGGAAAGGGTTAATACATACTTCTCTTCCAAATATTGAACCGTGACCACTAAGCCCACTAAATCCTTTTATTGCAATTGGGAATGATCAAAGTCTCTCCACTTGTTTACTTCCAATTATTAACTGTAAATCTCAGGGGAAAAGATCATGCTCTCATGCTGTCAAACCCAAAACACTGCGTAAACAGAGGCAATCAACTTCTTAGGGCTCCTTTTCCACAGCATCTCTTTACCACATGACCTATGCTGACATTTACCAAAACCTACAAAACGCAGTGCACTTAAGTCATGGTTCTAAGTGCATCCTATAGAAGAGGTTGAGAGAAAACTGGAGTCTCCGAGAAGGAGAAAAAGAAAAAGGGGATAAAGAAGGCAAGAAAGAAAGAAAGGAAACCTCCTGCTAGACTAACGTCCAGTCACCATCATCTCTCCAAAAAAAGCTCCAAATTTGAAATGCCCACTTCCCAGGGAACACCTCCCAAGCAACGTTTAGAGAACTTATCCCAGACTCGCAACCAACAGCACCTCGAAAACTTTACCATTTTAAACATAAAAGCAGGAGACCTTAGAAACAACTGGGAACCGCCATCTTACAAGCCATCCAATTTCACACAAGTGTCCCTCCAACTTAAGTTAATAACATTTTTGTTCGGGCTCCCTCCAGTCTAACACCCACCTCGGCGGGATCGCTGCCCCCCACGCAACCCGTCCCTATAAAATGGGGGCGTTCTCTGAACGTTTAAACCCCTCCAAAGCCCTTTCTTCGGGAGAGGAGGGACGCCACTTGACCCAGGCAGCTCTCGACTTGAGGAACCCGGCCCCGTTTCATCAAAATCTACCTCTCAACAAAGGGCGCCGCGGCCGGGAGAGCCGCCGAGGCTGCAAGTACGAGTGTTCTTCTCGGGGGCCATGTGCGTCGCGAGCGGGTAGAGGGGCGCGCGGGGGAGAAAGGAACTAAAACGTGGGGCGGCGCGCGGCGCGGCCGGGCTGGAGCGGGCGGCGGCTGGAGCGGCGCCG